GTCAACAATACATTCCCCAAAACATACTTACTTGATGATTATAAAGGTAATCCGATTCAGGGTGGGTTCTATAAAGAAGAACTCAAAAAGACTGAATTCCCGAACACATTTCTAGTTGAGAAAATTTTAAAGCGAAGAGGTGTTAAAGTTTTAGTAAAATGGGTTGGCTTTCCAATGGATGAAGCCAGCTGGGTAAATAAAGATGAAATTTTATAGTAGAATTACCAAATTTAAAGACAATGTAATATTTAATATTTATTTTTGTTTTACTTATAATTGCTAACTCTGTTTCATTCTTATATACCCTATTTGTTGTTATTTTGTGTGCCCTTGATCTAAACATTGTCCTACCTACTACCATATAATGGAGTTCCAGATAGTAATACATTTTTATAATGATCCATAGTTAAATTTCTGGAACTCACACCTTTTGCTTTATTACAAGAGTTTTTAACTTCATCTATTTTATACCTATAAACTTTGGAGCATAGACCTATAAATTCACTCATTAGTTTTTCAATCAACTCATCTTTAAAATATCCTAACCTCTTTTTATTAACTTTTTTAAAATTATATAAATCGATTCTTCTATCTGAATAGTCGGGTGTATCAAATTTTGATTCAATACGAATATACACGAATATCCTTATAAAAATCATTAGTTTTTATAGTATAGATGAATGAGTCTGTATCCATGTAATTTAAAACCAGATTTTTTTTGAAATTTGGGTTTCATGTATTGGCAATGAAAATTATACATTTTCCACTTTGATAAGTCCAATACAGCAAACAACAAATAAATTGGCTTATCAATAACTACAAAAAGTATTTTCATTTGGATGGCATAGAACTCGTCATTTATTTTAGTTGTACTATGAAAATTGAATATTGAAATTACATTTTTAGCACAATGTTTTTTCGACCGAGTTTATGAACATCTACAGGCTCCCATGTAGTTACCAATTTAACATCTACACGGTTTTCAGGATTTTCCATAGTATTCCCGTAGACTGAGTTGTTCATTCATTTAAAAAAATCTTTTTTAAATTTATTCTTGGCATTCTGTCTATGTAAAAGAATTTAAATCAATATAAGTCTTTAGCCAAGGTTATTGTAAAAAAGCGAACCCCTCTATGGATCTTGTTTAATATTAACCCATTTTGTATGCATTGCTGCAAATTTCTATAATGGATTACATAATTTTTTTTTTCGAGGTCCGCTATTAATTTTTTAATTTTATCCTCTTTAGATGCAAAACTATTTGTCGGACAAAACGGAAGATCATTATGTGTATCATAATAGGGGGTAAATTAGGTCTACTTCTCAAAAATATCCATACTCACTATCAATAGATATGTTATGTATATCAAAATTTGTTATGTCATTCGGGGACAACCATTCAAAAACTTTATATGGAAGAAGTTGTGACCATATAAATTGTTTGCATCCAAACACATTTAAAACAATGATTCTTTTGTTGGATCATAATCTGTTAAGTATTTGTTATTTGCCTTTGTATATCTATAGCAACATTGTACTAAGCCACCTTGAATGCTATTTTGAATAAATATATACTTATCGATATCCACTAATAACTCTAATTGAATATTTGTGACCTTTAGCATGGCTGCCCAAGATAGACCTGGTGTAGTGAAAAACTGAGCAATAATGATCTAATAAATAAATTTGTAAACATATTTTTCTAAAATTTTCAAATATATCAGTCAATAGGAAAACATAAGTTTTTAAGTATAATTTTAGATAATCTTTAAGAGTTGCACCGGAAAATTGAATGTTTCAAGAAATCGAATTTCAAATTTTTTTTCCATTTAAAGTTTTTATGGTTTTGGACACCGAAATATATTATTATTTATTTACTGGAATTGCAGTTATACTACCGGGAATTTTAGCCAAGTCTTCGATAAATAAATGGCAGTCACATTTAGAAAAATTATGGAAAAACACTTGAATTTACATAGTCTATACTCAAAGTTACATTTAGAATGAGCTGCACCCCTAAATAAACCTGTTAAATGACAATGGTCCCTAACACGATCATTTAATAATATTTATAGGCTTTATTAATATAATAAGCATAAGCTATGGGAATATGATAGTTTAATTTAAACAATTTTGGGCTTACTTCAATATTTCTCGGCTCCAGTACACATTCAAAGTCAGCGTATACTACGAACGGAACCTCAAGCTGCTTGCGGTATTGGGTAAACTCCAGAGTTTGTTTGTGTAATTCCGATAGCCTGGACACTTCTCAGTCTTATGTCTTATAGCAGCATCCGCAGATGCAGAGAAATTCAGGGTAATTTAAATTGGTGAAATCCAATATTAATCCACTATTCAAATATGTTTTTTCAGTGGACATATCAATATTATATGAACTACATCTTTGCGTTTTTTTACATTTATTAAAGCCGATATCAAGGCCCATTTAAAACAGTATGCATTATTTTTATTACATACGTTAATAAAAGCTTTGTTTAAAGCTTAGAATTTTGGAATACGTTAATAATAGCTTTCTTTGAAGCTAAGAATTTTGGAAGCGGGATCTATGATGAACCCAATAAAGGTGTATATTAGTTCACATTCATTTCTAGGCGCATTATTTTAATTAATGCCCACCCGCTATCTTTTTTTGGAATTCTTGTGATTTTCCTACTATTTCCATAGTATGCTCAAGAAAAATAGAATCCAAATCCGAGAACTGATTCATATAGTCATTTTACTTTGAAAACTTTTAATTTCAATTTCTTCCGTTTCATCCTTATAGAGTATATATTCGGCAAATAACTCAAAATTTACTTTCACCGATATATAACTCTAATAATGTACTGAGATCAATATCATCTCAAAGCTCGCAGAGAAAAGAAGTGTTAATTTTGAGCTCTCGTAGTCTACCTACCAACAACCAAAAAAAGCAACTAACACTGTATTAGTGTATAATCCTAGTATAGTATATAAGATTTTTATGTACACTTTTGGCAGCGGCGGCTACTCGCCCACCTTTTTTTGGCGATCCATACCAGTCAGCACAGCCGGCTTAATATTTTCTTTATTTTTGTTCTTTTTCGGGCAGCGCAGCGGCAGAAGTATTAATGTTTGCGGTGCTAGCTGATGACGTTGTCAATGAAATCGCGGAGGTAGTTACTGCGCTCTTTGGCTGCAGAGACATCGATGGTAGCGAGAGGGAGCAAGAACGCGCTCTCTCGCTCTATACGTTTAAGAATTCGGTCAAGTTTGGGGTAACTGACCGTGTTTGGGAAGAGGTGGCATTACTTTCGGTTGCTTCGAAAGAGAAGTAAGCGTTGTATTCTACCTACCAACAACCAAAAACACCAACTAACAACTGCTTATCAGAAAAAAACAAACAAGTGCGTAAAACAAAATATAAAAAAAAACAAAAACAAAAACCACTAACTCAAAATCCAAGTACCGGGCGCCATCCCCAAAAAACTACAACAATGGAAAAACCACCAGAAATAAGAAGTGGTACATCAATGTACAGCAAAAATCCAGGCGAACCGAAATTCATTATCATCAACGGACCAGACAACAAATCCCTCGAAATTCTTAACCCTTTCATACTTAAAAAAACGATTGAGCTTACATACGATGGTAAGGTGCACTCTTGCAAAAACACTCGTGCCGGATACATTTTGATAAAAACTAAAAACACCTTACAAGTAAACAAATTACTTAAACTAAAAAAAATTGCAAACATTGAAGTAACTGTCTCTGAACACAAAACCCTAAATTTCTCTAAACGAGTAATATATTGCAACCTACTTCGCAACATAAGCGAAGCAGAAATCTTAGACGAACTAAAAAAACGATCAATCCACGACTGAAACTGGTGTAATCATTATTACATTTTCTTCACTTACCCTCCCGGAATACCCTAACATATATCTCGATGCCCTTAAGGTGCATGCGATGCTTACGCTTTGGACACCCAAACGACTCCAAACACAGCCCACTAGACCGCAAGTGTCCAACATTCAAAAAACAACAAGAACTAACAAACATTAAAATTACAGAAAAAGTCGATCACAAAACGGCTTTTACAATATACCACACTAGTCATAACCATCCACTTTAAATAAGCTTCGCCTCAATTGTATCAAAAAAACTAACCAACACTATAACACCAAGCAAAACAACAACATTAACACTCAGCAAATCCTAACAAAAAGAAAGCAAATCTTACATCTTACGACGACATCTTAACCAACACCCACACAAGACCTACACTAACTCGATCAACAACCCAATCTTCACTTGAACACATGGACACAGACACATTCATCATGGATTTCGACACTCCCACTCCAACAGGACCTTAAACTCTAACGACAAAAACAAAACACTAACTACAAACACTAACTAATCAAGCAAAAATAAAAAAGCCAGACCCAGCAGTAGACAACAAATAGGCACAAAATCATCTACTTGCTCCACAAAAACCAATCAACCTTTATAATGACCATGAAAATTGTACAATGGAATATGAACGGATACCTTAACAACTACTGCGAACTCCAATTCATCATTAAAAAACCTCTTTTAATAGCATTACAAGAAACTCATATAAAATACCTCAATATACCAATACCTGTTAATTACTCCCTAATAGAAAAAAACAACTCATCGTCACACGGAGGCATAGCCATCCTGGCTCATAAATCTCTGTAAACCAAAGAAATACCCCTAAACGATGACTTTGACGCAGTATGCTTAAAAGTAACCTCGAAAATTAAATTCAGACTTATTTCGGCATACATCGCTCCAAACAAATCTTTCTTACTACAAAACCTTCAGGCTGTATTAGACAACTCTTCCACACCCACAATTGTCACTGGTAACTTCAACGGTTGGCACAAAAACTGGGGCTCAAAGCAAAATAAACCTAGAGGGAAAATACTTGAGAAATACATAACACAATCTAACTTCATTCTTCTAAACGATATGTCTCCAACATATTTCAGCACACACAACTCACTGACAAATGTCGATCTGACTCTCGGCAGCCCACTCCTTAAAATTGACAGTACCTGGCGCACAGAAGATAACCTTTTTGGAAGCGACCACTTCCCCATCATAATTAACCTCTTCACATCAAATACTGCTAACCTACAATCAACACCACGGAAACCCAAGCTAACAATAAACTTCTCTGCGCAACGACCACCAAGCACAAACATAAACAAAGAAACAGCAACAATACAAAAAATCATCCTTTCGAGAGGTCACAAGGCAATACCACAAACACACCCAACGGGTAAGCTTCATAATGTACCATGGTGGAACAACAATATCAAAAAACTACGAGACGATAAAATGAAAAAATGGAACGAACTTTAAAGAAACATATCTACAAAAAAACATATTACAGTACAAAAGGGTAAATGCCCTATTTAAGCTAACACTCAGACAAACTAAAATAGCAAGCATTAACAAATTCACACCCCAAATATCACCGGACAGCCAACCCAAAACGATCTGGGGCATTAACCCCCAAAAACACATACACTGTATATTAAACCCATCCACAAAAGAAAACACTAATAACAAAATTGAAATTGCTCAGCTCTTCTGCCAAAATTTCTCAAAAACCTCCTCCGACAACAATTCTTCAAGCACCTTTATTAATTACAAACAAACGTCACTCAGCAATACTATTCATCTTTCACATATCCCCAGCAAAAGATCAACCGAAATAGAAAAACCTATAACTGCAATAGAATATTCATCAGCATTAACCACATTAAAAGGAAACACACCAGGACTTGACAGAATCAACTGCACTATGATAAAAAACCTTGATAAAACAACAAAAAACAGAATTATTAACCTCCAAAACGTACCGATCCTAAAACCAAACCAGACAAAACCTTGATTAACTCATACCGTCCGATCTCACTAAACTCATGCCTAGCAAAACTACTTGACAAAATAATAGCAAAACGGCTGTGGTGCCTTGTAATAAACTACAAACTAATCCATAACAGTCAAACTGGCTTCAGAAAAGGGAAATCGTCTATAGACAGTCTACTACTCATAGACCATCTTTTAGCACGAGCTCTCTCAAGAAGAAACCACGCATCTATCATATCCCAAGACTTCGCAAAGGCCTTCGATAGAATTGGCGTTCACTCTATACTTGACCAACTTGTAACCTGGAAAACTGGCCAAAAAATTATTAACTACGTACGAAACTACATGACAAATAGAAAACTTCCAGTGCGCATTGACTCTGACATCTCCTCCTTCCAACCAATGCAAAACGGCATTCCTCAAGGCTCCCCACTCTCCGTGGTCCACTTTTTGATTGCATATAACTCACTAATAGAAAAGCTCACACTTCACCCGAACATCAGCCTAAGCGGATACTTCAACATCATCCTAAAACTAAAAAACAAAATAAAACCTAAATATAAACCTAAATTCGATAATATCCACTATTACAGACTGGGCAGAATACTCCGGAGCCATGTTATCTACCACACATCCATGTTTGCAGAAAACATAATTGTAACTGCACCATAACAACAGGAAACACGCAAATGCAAGAAGTATCATCATTAAAAATCCTTGGTCTGCATTTCAATAACAAATACAGATGGAAAACTCACACGGAACTACTAAACAACAACTTAAAACAATATATTAACGTAATAAAATGTTTATCTGCAACACATCTACACTCCTAAACGTAACAAAAGCAACCATCGTCTCAAAAGCACACAATACTGCGCAAAGTAAAGTCAACAATCAACACAGCCTTTAGAACTGCCCTCGGAGCCTTCAAAACCACCACACTTCACGAAGCAAATGCAGCCGCCTTAGAAGACAGACGAGAGTTCTTTACGTCAAAAAACATTAAGTCCCTAGTTAACACCAAAGCCTCACCAATAATTAAAATTTTAAAAGCATATCGCCCGCCAAAACGTCCACAATACAAATCAACAACAAATCGTATTATAGAATACTCACAAGTCCACCAACTACCATTTAAACAATTAACACTACCTTCACAAACCACACCGCCCTGGAACACAAGCCCTCTAATAGACACATCGCTAAATAAATTCGACAAAAAAAGTAACCCTCCTGAAATTTTCGGATTACAATTTACAGAAATTAAGACAAAAGACAAACACAAATACACATACATTTACACCGACGGATCTCAAGCAAACGGCATCACTAGCCTGAAAATCACAAGCGAAACTGAATGCATCAAACTTTATCACCTACCACACTAATCTTCAGTGTTTTCCGCAGAGCTACTTGCAATAGTAGAAGTACTGCAAATACATAAAACTAAAAGAGACAAATTTTGCATATGCTCAGATTCACTCACTGCCATCGACACAATAAAACGGTCACGTAGGAATACCTGGAAACGAACTTGCAGACGCCCTAGCTAAAAACGCTACTAGACAACCACTTACAATTATCGAAAACTGAAACACACAGGACATATTAAAATTTATTAAAAATACATATCTCTCGAAAATGCCATTAAACAAATCCATAACTTCTGGCTGGTACCAAGCAATTAATCATGCCCAGCTCAACTGCCACCAAATTACCAAAAATATTCACTCATCGGTCACACGTAGAAACCAGATAATAATAACAAGGCTCAGGCTTGGACACACAAAAATTACACATACACACTATATGGACCCAACTGAAACCAGGACTTGTCCGTTCTGCAATGATCCCAACTATGCCTTATCAATTAATCATTTAGTGACTAACTGCAAGTCACTAAACTGCAAAAAACAACTAATATTTAGAAACACCAATCTACTAGAATCCATCTGAAAACCCACACTACCAAATATATTAAAAATAATATTTCTAAAAAATACAAACTTATATCTCCTCATTTAAGATAATTCTAATTAAGCCAAAATGTATATAAAATAGTATTCATGTAATTATTGTAAAAAAAACGAGCGGAAGGCCCCGTTGCCATTGCTCAACATCACCGCTACCTAATAATTTTTAATCATTTGGTAGCTCTTCATCAATAAATAAATAAAATTTTGTATTATTAAAATTTTATTTAAAGAAAAAAAATGTAAATAAATAAATGCTTAACAATATATATAATTGCGTTTTTTATTATTTAAGAATTTTATTTACAGAAATCGACGAGTTGTGACTAGAATCAAATCAGGCTTGGACACACAAAAATTACACATACTCTCTATATGGACCCAACTAAAACCAGGACCTGTCCGTTCTGCAATGATACCAACGATGCCTTATCAATTAATCATTTACTGCAAGTCACTAAACTGCCAAAGAAAACTAATATTTAAAAACACCATCTCAAACCCCACACTATCAAACATATTAAAATTAATACTATTTCTAAAAAATACAAACTTATATCACCTCATTTAAGATAATTCTAATTTAGGCAAAATGCGCAACATCACCGCTACCTAATAATTTTAAATTATTTGGTAGCTCTTCATAAATAAATAAATAAATAAAATGTACTGAGATGTGTGAGCAAAAACGATCCTGCTTCACTCATAAAGTTTTCAGGTAATTTGTTGTATGATCTATCCTTTACATACATGTAATGGATAATCCTTCATTTAAATCCTTCGGAAATTTTCTTGATGCGTCCATCGACGGTTTGAATTGCATTCTTCTTATGCATCTCCGTGCGGTTTGTCCACTTGTTCTTAATAACAAACAATTTAGTCTTTTTTATTTACATTTTATTTTAAAATTATTTATTTGAGTTTAAATATTTAATACACCTTCACTACACTTTTACTTTGTTTCTTTTCAAAGTTCTTTTCAAAAAAAAAAGTTCTGAAAGATGTTGCACCTATAATGATTTTGGTAGAACTAACTGAATTCTCCGATTTATATTTATATTCCATCCCTTCGTCTCGAAGAAATCGTAAAAACTCTGAAATTTTAATAAACAACTTGAAACTTTCCTTAAGGCGTTCCCAATCCTCCTAAGACATTCACACATTCAGGAATAAACAAAAAAGTTTAATTCATGGGTTCATGATTTCTGTGCCAAAACAGAGCTCTGCCACTTTCGGCGCGTGCGCAACGGATGCCGTAACATGCTCCTTAAAGATGTTTACAAATCAGATGCATGAGTGTGAAGTCACCCTTTATTAGGATAAACAACTTCCATCAGAATCCCTTCTGATTAAAGGGACCTGCGGGTAGTGAGGGGAAATCGTAATGACAGACAGCCAGACTGAAGGAATCGACACTTGTAGATGTCATAAACATTATAAACATATATTATAATCTAAAAAAAAATGAGAAGAAAATTAAAAAATACAAAAACTACTTCAGACTATATAACCTTCCTTGATGAGTCAGGAAAGAAGACCTCAGATATATTGAAACCTAAAAACTAAAACACAAAAAGACTGAAATAAAGAAAAAAGAAAGAAGAAAAAAGAAATAAAGAAACAATAAAATAAACACTTAATTAGGATAAACAACTTCCATCAAAATCCATTCTGATGGAAAGGACCGACAGACAGATAATCGGTTTTGGGGTGGGGGAAATTTAATTGAAATCATTAAAGTCACAGTTAATTGATAAAAAACATTAATGTCATATTTAATTGCCTATAAATCTGGCGCGGAACCCGCATTTTACAACTATTACTAAGCATACAGATTTTTGAGATAAGCGTCCATTCCCACCCTAACGCCCAAATCAAATCTTTTGGTTTGGAAGGTTGGGATAAAGCATGTATAAACATGAAATTCCAACTCATCTTAATGTGGCACCATTATCTGGCCACGCCAAATTTTACTGTGTCGTGCATAATATTACAATTTTTGTTTTGGGTTTAACCTTGTTTAACTCTTTTTCGTCTATACCTATTAATTTTAAAATCGGAACATTTTTGTTTTCAAAATTAATTTTTCTGACAAATGGTGGCGTTAGTAAAATTATTTACTGCATTAATTTCTGCTAGCAAAATTATAGTTTTAAAAATGGATAAGACTTTAACGGGTATCCAATAGTCGCAACCGTCGACTATAGTGTTTCTTGTAAAATATTTTATTTAACTAAAACCATTTTAAATATTAGGTGATTTTGGGCTTAGAGCACATGCATAAGCGTTACATTGTGTACCGTGACCTAAAACCTGCCAACATATTACTTGATGAAAATGGACACATACGAATTTCTGATTTGGGATTGGCTTGCGACTTTTCAAAAAAGAAACCTCATGCTTCAGTGGGAACCCACGGATACATGGCTCCAGAAGTGTTATCTAAGGGAACATCGTACGATTCGTGTGCTGATTGGTTCAGCTTTGGCTGTATGTTATATAAATTACTTAAAGGTCATTCTCCTTTCCGACAACATAAAACAAAGGATAAACATGAAATTGACAAAATGACGTTAACAATGGTATGTTTGAATTACGTAAAAATTTAAGTATATAAAAGGAAGGGCAATACTTTTGTTTAAATAAAATAGTTACAAACTTTATATATTGACTACTTGTCTTACACTAACCATAATACTCATAATTTTTTTTTTTATTAATTTTTAAGATTTCCTTTAGCAGATATTTTATAATTTTTCTACGTTATATATTCTTAGTAAAAATAGACATTTTTATTTTTTAGAACGTAGAACTTCCAGAATCATTTTCTCTGGAACTTAGAAATTTGTTGGAAATGTTACTCCAGAGGGACGTACCTAAACGTCTTGGATGCATGGGAAACGGGTAAGATAAGAAATGCTTATTTGTTTTTCAAAATTTGATTGTTGCCTTTTTAGTGCGGATGAAGTAAAAATGCATAATTTTTTTTGTGGTATCGACTGGCACCAAGTTTTTATACAAAAATACACTCCACCTTTAGTACCCCCCAGAGGAGAAGTAAATGCCGCTGATGCCTTTGATATCGGATCGTTTGATGAGGAAGATACGAAGGGAATAAAATTAAACGATTCGGATCAAGAACTTTACAAAATGTTTTCTTTGACTATATCTGAAAGGTAAGATTTAGCAGTCGTAGAATTACTAAAACTACAAATAAATAATTATTTAAGATCTTAGATTTAAATGGCTACAAACAACAATAATTTCACTTTCTTCTTCTGTCTGAATTCGAGAAAAAATATTTAGATATGGCTTTTTAGGCGTTTGTCTTGAACTGCAAGACACTAGGTCTGGTGTCTAACAGTTCTCTACTTTAGCGACATAGTTAACTGTCCATACCCTTCCTAGCAGAGGTCTGCGACAATGCTATACGCTAAGGCATCTGTCACCTGATCTATTGCCTCTTTATAGATAGGGTATGTACGCATGAAATTATCTGATTCTGATATGTTATGCAATTTCTGAAATGTCTTACGCTGTTCTTCGGAGAACTGCACCTGAATATTTTAAGATCAGTGTCTACTAACATTTTCATCATCTTCTGTTAGGACTCTAATTCATCTTGAAAATTAATTTAGAATCTAGTCCAGGTGCCTAAATGAGAAATTTTAATTTTTTGTCGCCTATATAGACGAATCCAAACTTGCCGATTTGCTCTTGTAAAATACCGTCAGTTGTTCTTAGAGGTATGCCGGCCGTATTTCTTAGACCAAAAGAAAAGCTTAAAAAATGAAATCCTCCTACCATTTAGAGAAAAAGATAGCGGTCCCCAAGCGTTATTTGATGGTAGACAGACTTCAGGGGCATTTGAGCAATATATACCGATAAATACATTTTCACACCATTTATAAAGTGAATAGTAAACTGTGACTGTACTGCTCGAATGCCCCCGTTGCCTTAACAAGGATGGTGAATTTGTTTGAAGAACCCGTATCGATTAGGAACTTCATTCCACATAGTTACTCTACGACTGAGGGTGGGTAGATGGGACCGGTAGATTTTCCCTTCTAAAAGTAAGAGCTTTTGAATCACATAGATTTTATATTGAAACAATCGAGAAACGGGCTTGCAGGTTTTTAATTTATTTGAAAATCAGCCATAGAATTATTATACCCGTTACTCGTAGAGTAAAAGGGTATACTAGATTCGTTGAAAAGTATGTAACAGATAGAAGGAAGCTTTTGCGACCCTATAAAGTATATATATTCTTGATCAGGATCAATAGCGAAGTCGATTGAGCCATGTCCGTCCGTCCGTCCGTCCGTCCGTATGAACGCTGAGATCTCCGGAACTATAGCAGATACAAATTTGAGATTAAGCATGAAGATTCTTGAGGTCCCGGGACAGCGCAAGTTTATTACAGCATCCTGCCACGCCCACTCTAACGCCCACAAATCGCCAAAAACTAAAATTGCTGAAATCTCAGGAACTATTGCAGTTACAAAGTTGAAATTCAAAAAGTATAA